TATCAACTCGTTTGTATTGCTCAGACATTATCTTTTCTAGCCTTATACTTTGAATGTGTGGGGGATTGTAGGGAATCATTCAAAGCCTTGCTATATTTTTGGATAGTGAGACATGTGTCAAAGCTTCCTTCTTCATCTCCTTTTTATTCGCACTTCCTTGGCTGATAATGTTGGCTCATTCTCTATATAAACATCAATAAGCTTTGAGAAGGAGCACACCAAAATCACTTGATTACATCTTCATCATCTCGTGGTCCTTCTATGTCATTTCTATCATAAGCTCCGTCTAAACACTGAGTCAGGTTCACCTGCGCTATAGTTAGTGCGAACTAAGCGTAGTTAGTCTGTGTAGCCTGCCACTTATTGTTCGTGATAGAGATGACATGCTAACTGCTTAGTGGTGCTATTTACTAGATTGATTCTTTGGTGTATGTTAATGAGTACATACAAGGGGAATAATACAATTAATTTTGATCAACATATGCTAAAGAGGAGAGTGTGAATTTTGTATTTAATATGTTGGCACAAATGCAGTCATGGCTCGTTTCAGTGTAAAAAATCTACGGAAAGAAGAAAAAAGAATTGTGGCTGCTTTGTCTATTTTCTTGATATATATTGTTGTTAGTGCTTTTAATGTCATCAACAACATCTCTCAATAGTTAATATAATCTAAGCATTAAGCGTTATTCTCTTGATAGTCATTACAAATGAGAGTATGTTTGACGGATTTTGAATGATAATAAGTCATGCATTTCACAACTTAGGATGAATTTGCAAGTTTTTTTTTTTCCAAACTATGTGAAATGCTAGAGAGTTTACAAGGATTACAACTAAGGAACATGACTATTGATGAACAAGTAGCAATTTTCTTACGTATTCTTGCTCATCATGTTAAAAATTGAGTCATTCAATATAATTTTAGAAAGTTAGGTGAGAGTATCAGTTGGACGTATCATAAAGTCTTGAATGCACTAATGCATTTGCAAGGTAATTTGTTTAGAACACCCAAACCCATTCCAACAAATTGTATTTACAATCGATAGAAGTGGTTTAAGGTACATTACTATCTTAAATATTTTTTGAAGATTATATATATTAGTTGTTTGTTTAATCAAAGTTATATTTCTTATAGAACTGTTTAGGTGCTTTAGATGAGACCTTTATCTAGGTTAATGTGCCAAGTTATGATAAGTCTAAATATTGAACTCGTAATGGTGACATTCTAAAAATGTTTTAGGTGTGGACTCATGTCTCATCACTCATGATATGCCTGCAACTTATGATCAAATCCTTGTAACTCCCTTTATCTATGCAGTAGTTTTCAACAACTGCAATTTGGGAGATAAAAATTCTAAAGAAGTTGCAACATGGAAATGTCATTAAGCTTAAAGATATAGTGCATAATTGTCTTTTATATAGTCAAAAAATGAATGTTTTTTTTTAATCCACTTTTATGTAGTAAAATGTGTATTTTTAACTACATAACATTATATTTATATAAAAATACAAATTTTACTACATCAATATACAAATGCATTAATTAACATAAAGTGTACATTTCGCATATTTGCACCCAAAAAAATAAACAATATATATATATATATATATATATATATATATATATATATATATATATATAGGGAAGGGATCAGGTGCATTTGTGGCTTCTCGTGCGGTTGATTAATGTGCGTGAGTTTTATACTTAATGTGCGTGAGTCTTGTGCTTAATGTGCCTGAGATTTGTACTTAATGTGCGTGAGTGTGTAATGTTAATGTGCATGAGTTTTGTACTTAATGTGACTGGGTATTGTGTTTAATGTGCGAGAGGTTTGTGCTTAATATGATGAAGATGAAGACGTATATGATGACGTATATGATGAAGAACAGAGAGAAGGGAAGAGAGGATTAAGGGAATAGGAAGAGAAGACGAAGACGTATATGATAAAGAACAGAGAGAGGGGAAGAGAGGATTAAGGGAATAGGAAGAGAAGACGAATACGTAGACGAAGACGTATATGAAGAAGAACAGAGAGAGGGGAAGAGAGGATTAAGGGAATAGGAAGAGAAGACGAATACGTAGACGAAGACGTATATGAAGAAGAACAGAGAGAGAGGAAGAGGGGATTAAGGGAAAAGAGAGGAAGAGAAGACGAAGATGAAGACGTATATGTACAGGAGCACATTAACATTACACACTCATGCACATTAAGTACAAATCTCAGGCACATTAAACACAAGACTCAGCACATTAAGTACAAAACTCACGCACATTAACATTACACACTCACGTACATTAAGTACAATGTTCAGGCACATTAAGCACAAGACCCACGCACATTAAGTACAAAGCTCACGCACATTAATCAACCGCACAACCGCACGGGAAGCACCCAACCATATAGTGAAAGGTTCCCGTGCGGTTGAATGCTTCCCGTGCGGATGTGCGGTGAATTAATGTGCGTGAGATTTGTACTCAATGTGCGTGAGTGTTGTGCTTAATGTGTCTGAGATTTGTACTTAATGTGCGTGAATGTGTAAAATGCAACAGAAAATATTGATGTCAGCTTCTTCCCCATCCCCAGTAGCCATCTGTCCCCTCCATGATGATGATGATGCGGAGGCGAGCTATGGTGGTTAAGTGTTATGGGAATAATACAACAGAAATTCAATTTTACTATGCGTGCGTCATTTATATAAACATTCAACTGCATTGAAGGTAACTGATAATCCAGAATCCATGGCCAAATTGAAGGAAGATGTAACAAGAAGCTTGGGCGTTAATGTGCGTGAGCTTCTGTTCTGCTTCCTTCTGAGCTCGTAATTCTGAAATACTCACGCACATTAAACACAAATCTCACGCACATTAAACACAAATCTCACGCACATTAAACACAATACTCAGGCACATTAAGTACAAAACTCACGAATATTAACATGACGCACATTAAGTACAAATCTCAGGCACATTGAGTACAAATCTCACGCACATTAAGTATAAACCTCACACACATTAATCCACTGCACATCCGCACGGGAAGCTACAAATGCACCTGATCCCTTCCCTATATATATATATATATATATATATATATATATATATATATATATATGTAGGCAATATAATATGACACCCTAACGACTTTAATTTACTCTAGTTAAGCTTTCCTAAACTATAAGCTGCCATTGCACCTACTCTGTCCTAAATATATAATGTAATAAACACTACAAATATAATGTACAATATCATGCAACCTCGACTTATATTCTTTTAATTACTACCAATCATCGTTCTCAATTACTATCAAATCTCCTTTTCTATTTCAACGAAACCAACATGTTGGGCGTCGTTGGAGTGGGCTCAGTTCAGCCCTTACTCGATCCGAGACCTGGCACTATGGCTTACTTGGAGGGATGTTGTTAAATAGTTAATATCTACATATTTATTATCAATTGGTTTTAAGTCAGATATGATAACTAGATAGACAAAAAATTCTATAGTCAAGCATTTAAGCGTGCTTGACTTACCACAATCACATGATGAGTGACACGATATGTTTACAATATTTTTAATAACTAAATCATTTGTATGTACAAAAATGTCTATACGCTAGAGAAGTCTTATGTGTCACTTCAATCTCGAAATTCACTTCATCGTCGTGATTCATATAAATAAATAAAATGTTATGATCTTTTATACCACTTTAACTATTTTATTTTGATACAATCTTTGGTACATTACGCATGCCCACAAGTTATTCTAAAGTCTCATGTACGTCGTACTATGTCTCAGTAGGTCATTGTAGCCAACACAAATTAAACATAAGAACGTGTTATTAGCTCATCTCATTTTATGAGTTTAAAAAATATGAGGAGTTTTACAATCCGATATGTTTTACCCCCACGTTTCTTCTTCTAAATTAAAAATTAAAGAAAGGACATTTTGGTCAAAACAGGCATAATCTAACTATATTCCGTACATTTAATTTTTTTTTAAAAAATATAATTGTAAATTTATGTTTTATGCATACATTCTTGATTCTTCAAGGGATATATAATACTTGCTATTTGCCAAGCACCTTGTGCCTCGTGGTAGGGTATTAATTCTTTAGATTGCGTCGAACCCTTAAGCATCGTTAATTGAACCATACACAAAATGAAACAGAGGTAGTATATAACTTTTCACAAATACACCATATTAATATTTTATAAGAAATAACTTTGTAATAAAGTTTTGTTGTGTATTTTTTGAAAAATGAACCAAACAAACAAAATAAGATTTTTCTTTTAACTTTCAACCAAAATAATAAAAAGACAATTTACTAATTTTTAGTTGTGACCATATAGGTATAAGAACCATGTTCTACCCCGTCGTCAACCCCGACCCTCTCAGACAACCCTTAATTAATTTATAAGTTTTAATCCTCAAACTTATGTATCCATCAACGTTCTTGCCCTAGAAACTAGTAGATTAAGTAATCAAGAGATGTGCTTTTAATTGGCCGACATGCCTCCAAATACTTATGCACTAGTTCTATAACAAGGTCAAATCTATACCTCTCTTAGTCATGGGTAGGACTCAACCTACTAGCAAATTAGCGTAAAGCTTATGAACTTATTACCCCAACCAAGTCTGACAGTAGACTTAGTCTGGTAATCACAAAATTTTGAGTTAGACTTCTTGTAGTTGTATGAAATGCATGTCTATTAAGTTTTTCTTATTTGATGCATCTAATTAACTTTAATGAAATTTTTTAAACTTAAGCTATTCCACCTTCGCGGGACTAATTTTAAGTTCACATGACCTTCCACCTCTAGGGATTACGCGGAAGTAAATCATGAGTCCCACTATTAGCTCACTGGTTATATTCTAGTTTTTTATGTGTCTACAAAAGATCTAATCTAACCTTTAAGTCAGGCTAGAAACAAGTATGCTAAGCCACGATCATACTAGTTTTTATAAAACAAATGAAACAACTATATATATCTCAACAACTTCACTCTCTTAAGCCATACTCCATCGCCGGCAGTAGTTTCTGCAGCTTCCATCTTACGTATCATACTAGTTTTTATAAGCTCTAGACTCTCTAACAATGGCTGTACTACCAGAAGAGGACAGCATATCTCCGGCGAGAGATCCGCGGCCTAGACGACAAGAACCGATTCTGGATATGTCTGCTGGCGACGAGAATGATGCGGCGGTCCACCATATTCTCCACGTGAGTGATCCCGTCAAGGAGCCGCGCTCCCTCTCCTTCTTTCTCTCCTTCAACAACCTCACTTACACCGTGAAAAACAGCCCCAAATTCTCTCTTCCGGTGAGCTTCCGTCGCCGCAGAAACCGGAGCTCCAGCAACAGCCGGCTGCTCGACGGGGAGAGCAAGAGCTCGTTCACGAAGACGAAAGTGCTACTCAATGATATCTCCGGCGAGGCTCGCGACGGTGAAATTCTGGCCGTTCTCGGCCCGTCCGGGAGCGGGAAATCCACCCTCATTGACGCCTTGGCCAACCGGATTTCTAAGGACAGCCTGAAAGGGACGATCACGCTCAACGGCGAACCGCTGGACTCGGGACTGCTACAAGTGATATCAGCTTACGTCATGCAAGACGATCTCCTGTATCCGATGCTCACCGTCGAGGAGACGTTGATGTTCGCGGCGGAGTTCCGGTTGCCGCGAACGCTATCGAAGTCGAAGAAGAAGATGAGAGTCCTTGCTCTGATCGAACAGTTAGGCCTACACAACGCCGCGAAAACAGTGATCGGCGACGAAGGCCACCGCGGCGTCTCCGGCGGAGAGCGACGGCGCGTTTCCATCGGAATCGACATAATCCACGATCCGATCATCCTCTTCCTCGACGAGCCGACCTCGGGGCTCGACTCCACCAGCGCATTCTTAGTCGTGAGAGTCCTAAAGCAAATCGCTCAGAGCGGAAGCACAGTGATCATGTCGATCCACCAGCCGAGCTATCGTATCCTCCGATTACTCGACCGCCTCATCATCCTCTCCCGTGGACAGACCGTGTACGGCGGACCGCCGGAAAACCTCTCCGAATTCTTCGCGGATTTCGGGCACCCGATTCCGGACAACGAGAACCGAACCGAGTTCGCATTAGATCTCATCCAAGAGCTTGAGAGTAAACCAGACGGCACAAAATGCTTAGTGGATTTCAATCTGACGTGGCAAAACTCTGCGAAGACCAAAGAAGTAACTCCCATGGCGGCGTTAACATTAACGGAAGCGATCAGAGCGAGTATTTCGCGGGGGAAGTTAGTTTCAGGTTCAACCGGCGGTTTATCTTCCACTTCAGCCGTGGTCCCGGTTCACGCGAACCCGTTTTGGACCGAAATAGCGGTTCTCTCGAAGCGGTCTTTCACGAATTCCCGGCGGATGCCGGAGCTTTTCGGGACCCGGTTGGGGGCGGTGGTGCTAACCGGCTTCATCCTCGCCACCGTGTTCTGGCGGCTGGATAACTCCCCCAAAGGCGTACAAGAGCGGCTAGGGTTTTTCTCCTTCACGATGTCCACCATGTTCTACACGTGCGCCGACGCGCTGCCGGTTTTCATCCAAGAGCGCTACATCTTCGTGAGGGAAACCGCGTACAACGCGTACCGGAGATCCTCATACGTGCTCTCCCACGCGCTCGTATCCTTCCCCTCCTTAGTCGTCCTCGCAATCGCGTTCGCATCCTTGACGTTCTGGAGCGTGGGCCTGGACGGCGGTGCGTCGGGGTTCTGGTTTTGCTTCTGCCTCATGCTGTCCTCGTTCTGGGCCGGGAACTCCTTCGTGACCTTCCTCTCCGGCGTCGTCCCCCACGTGATGCTCGGATTCACGATCGTCGTCGCAATCCTGGCGTACTTCCTCCTCTACAGCGGATTCTTCATAAACCGGGATAGGATCCCGGTGTACTGGATCTGGTTCCACTACATCTCTCTGGTGAAGTATCCGTACGAGGCGGTGCTGCAGAACGAGTTTCAGGATCCGAACAAGTGCTTCGTGACGGCGATCCAGATGTTCGACGGCACCCCCTTCGGGGCACTGCCGGTGGGGATCAAGGAGACGGTGCTGCGCATCATGAGCGAGACGCTGCACGTGGACATCAGCAGCTCCACGTGCGTGACCACCGGACCCGACATTCTTGCCCAGCAAGGAATCACTCAGCTCAACAAGTGGGAGTGCTTGATCGTCACCGTCGCCTGGGGGGTCTTCTTCAGGATCTTGTTTTACTTCGCCCTGCTCTTGGGGAGCAAGAACAAGAGAAAGTAATAATTGCATGCATTTGAAGATTAGAAGAACAAACATTTCACAAATTTGGCGGGAAGTTTTTTTTTTTTTTTTCAATTCCTTTTTAAATAATTTTGATGCATTCAATTTGCTAATATAATTTTTTTTTTTTTATAATTTCATGTGATCGAGCGCTGAGAGTTTTTACGGAGTAATAAACTAAAGTTGTAACAAGAGAAAGTAATAATTGCATGCATTTGAAGATTAGAAGAACAAACTAACATTTCACAAATTTGGCGGTGCATTAGACTAGTTTTACCTACTAAAGTTGTGTTATTTGAGAAACGAGTTAATATTGATATTTTGTGCCTTATGTGCGGCTGTGAGGATGAAACTGTGGATCATTTTTTTTTACGATGTAAGGCAGTGGAAATAACGTGGAGTTTGGGGGGAGTTGAGCATTGTTTTACTACGGGTTATACCGTTGTAAATTGTTAGATCAGAGCGTTGTTTTCAATTGGAATGGGTTGAAGTTCTTGAATTGGTCGGATGGTGGTTTTGATGTGGGGGAGTTTGGGGTGCTCGAAATGATAGTGACTTATGGAGTTGTGTTATGTAGCTCGGATGGTGCCTTTCTAGCGACAAGAAATGGTAAATTTCCTTATTGTAGTAATCCATATCTTGTTGAAGCAATGGCATTTAAAGAGACTCTTTTATGGTTAAAGAATCGGGGCACCTTGGGAGTGGTGGTACATTCTGATTGTCTTAATCTCTGCAATGCCCTTTTTTTTTTTTCTCGTCAAATGAATTACTCGTATGTGGGTATTGACCGTATTGTGATTAATGTTTGAATATCGCTAGTTTCTTCATTTTCGTCTTGTGTATTTAAATGTATTCGTCGTTCGTTGAATAAGGTAGCAGATTATCTTGCGGCGAGAGGTATTACTCAAAATGCTCATTTAGGTTGGATGAATATTTGCCGGAGTTTATTGTAAATTGTTTTTCACTTGGGCCCTATTTTGTAACATAGTTAGCTTATCAATCAATTTTGACTTGTTGGACCACTATTAATTGTTTGACTTGGTTAAACAACGAATGAGTGTTTGATTTTTTTGAAAGCAAAGTAAAGTTTGAATTATGATAATAAAGCGTAAGTGGGAATCTTGAGTGATAGAGTCCTAGTACAAAAAATTAGCTTGAGAAATGACTGAAGAAGCTAAAATGTGAGCTAAAACATTAATTGATCTAGGAACTAAACGAATAAAGCAATTAATAAAAGTGGACATAGCATCCCTATAGCCATCTATTATCAAACCAACATATGATAAAACAAGTATCTGTGAAGATAGAATACCCCGAAGCTCCGAGCAATCAGTGTGAAGATCTACCGTTGAAACACCGCAATCCTTCAGCCACGACATTGCCTCCTTACATGCCATAGACTCCGCCATGAGAGGTGAGAAACACGACGGCAAGGGACCGCCACACGCTTCTATGAAGTCCGAAGTGGCCGAAAGTAACACCGCCCCAAACGCCGCCTTCCCAGTCGCATGATGGTAGTTGGCGTCGAAGAAATATCTTGGCTTTACAGATGGTGGCGAGGCAGGGAGATTGACGGCTGGAACTGTTGGTGTAGCTGGGGGATGCACCTGCTGCCATGCATGCAACGATGAAGATGCGGCGTATACGACTCGTCTTGGCAGCGGCACACAACCCTTCCATACTGCAGAGTTTCGGGCATTCCAAAACTGATACAAAACTGCCATAATCAAGCCCAGATCATCCTCATTACACATGTCCAGCACATGATCAAATCAAGCAGAAAAAGAGGGCAAAGGCAGTGAAGAAAAATTCCACACAATTTGAGAGAAATCACACAAAACAAGGGAATGCATTGTATCCTCATGAGTACGACCACATAGTGGGCATGGGGGATTCACTTATACTCTTTAAAAGCAAGTTTGTGGTTGTTGGGAGGATATCATTAAGAGCCTCCATAAAAAAGTCTTCCATTTGGGAGGAACCTTCAACTTCCAAAGGGTAATCCATTTATCAAAAACCCCAGGGTGGTTATCATATTCACCAATAATGCGTCTATAACCACTCTTTACAGAATAACAACCTCTCATGTCACCCTGTCAGAATCATGAGTCCTCATAATCTAGGCTAATAGGGATCCTATAGATGCGAGCCACATCATTAGGTTCGAATAAGTCAACCAATATTTGGGGTCCCAAGAATTAATATTATGATCAATCAAACCTGAGACCAACACACCACTTAAAGGGGGGGGGGGGGGGGGTCATGGCGGTTTGCACTAAAGGAATCGGATCATCAAGTAGCCATGGATGTCCCCAAATTAGAGTAGAATTTTTGTTACCTATCCTGCATCTCACTCCACCACAAACCAGATCATGAGCAGCCATTATAATACACCAACAATAACTGGGACAATTACCCACAGTGGCATCAATAAAAGAAGTTCTAGGGAAATATCTAGCCTTATAAATCCTGGCAACCAAAGAATGGGGCTTAGTTAGGAACCTCCAGACTTGTTTACCTAACATAGCCAAGTTAAAAGCACGAAGATCCTTAAACCCGAACCACTAAACTTTTTAGGCACACATACCCTATCCCTGATTTAGGGAGCAAGAAAACACTCATTGAAAAGGTACGCATAGATTGAGCAACACTTTTCAAAAGCACTTCCTTACCAGCCTGAGAAAGCAATTTTTTGTTCCATGAACCTATCCTCTGTTTGATCTTATCCTCAATATAAGAGAATGTTTCTCTTTTATTCATCCCTACAAATGCAGGTAACCCCAGATATTTGCCAAAGTTTGGAGCCTGGGCAACACCTAATACGCTCACCACGTCTTCCCTATGCTCCGCATTAGTATTTTTGCTAAAACAGACACTAGAATTATGAAAATTAGCCACCTGACCTGACAAATTCATATACGTGCTTAGGCAATGCTTAACCACACCTGCTTCTTGGGAATTTGCTCTAAAGAAAAGAAGGCTATCATCTGCAAAAAATAGATGGGAGATAGGGGGAGCACCCCTAGCCACCCTGCACCCATGGAACCATCCATTTGAGCTTTCTGTAACAACAAAGATAGACCCTCTATACAGATAATAAATAAATAAGGGGATAATGGGTCACCTTGCCGCAAGCCTCGAGTTGGGGCCACAGTTCTACTACTAGTACCATTAATCAAGAAATTATAAGAAACCGTAGTGACACATAGCATGATTAGAAACGATCCAGAAACTCGCACTCCATGTCGTGCCAACTGTCGATACAACCTGGTTCAAGATCAGTATACCAGTCGAAAGCCGTTCCCTTTAACGAGTGAACAAATTGCTTCACTAGGTAGTCCCCATATGTCCCAGCTTCATTGCAAGTTTCCACGAAATGGGCTGTAACACCCCCTAAAAACATGCTATTTAAAAGCCTTAAACATGCAGATAACTAAACCAAACAACAATCACAGGGGAAGACTGAAAGATAGATAGATAGATATAATCTGGAACACGGGGTGCTATGCCACGTTTACCAAAAGGATAAACGCACAGGCAACATCTGCAATGTTTACATTAAACCCATTGTCTCAAATTTCTACATCTAAACGAGCACACTGGCCACAAAACGCAAGGGAGAAGCTAAACTAGCAAGTACTAGACCGCGCACTCGCCTAGACATCACCTGAAAGAACACAATAAAACATGGGACGAAGCCCGGTCAGCGAATAATGCTGGTAATCCACCAATACATGTGAAATATCATACATAGATAAGATATAAGTTGTAAAGCCCACTACTACAGAAATGATATACCACGTCGCTTAATAGAAGGCGGTTTTTTAAATAACCGCCTTCTATTATATTTTGTTATACTAGACACATAATAGACGTTGGTTTTCTAAATAACCGCCTTCTATTATATACTACGGCACATAATAGACGGCGGTCTTTAAATAACCGCCTTCTATTATATACTACGACACTTAATAGACGGCGGTCTTTAAATAACCGCCGTCTATTATATACAACGTCACTTAATAGACGACGGTTGTTAAATAATCGCCTTCTAATATATATTTACGTCAGTTAATACACGACGGTTTTAAATAACCGCCTTCTAATATATATTTACGCCACTTAATAGACGGCGGTTTTAAATAACCGCCGTCTAATATATATTTACGACACATAATAGACGGCGGTCTTTAAATAACCGCCGTCTATTATATATGACGTCACTTAATAGACGGCGGTTGTTAAATAATCGCCTTCTAATATATATTTACGTCATTTAATAGACGGCGGTTTTAAATAACCGCCTTCTAATATATATTTACGCCACTCAATAGACGGCGGTTTTAAATAACCGCCGTCTAATATATATTTACGTCAATTAATAGACGGTGGTTCTTAAATAACCGACGTCTAATATATATTTACGTCACTTAATAGACGGCGGTTGTAAATAACTGCCATCTAATATATATTTACGTCACTTAATAGACGCCGGTTTTAAATAACCGCCTTCTAATATATATTTACGCCACTTAATAGACGACGGTTTAAATAACCGCCGTCTAATATATATTTACGTAAATTAATAGACGGCGGTTCTTAAATAACCGCCGTCTAATTTATATTTACGTCACTTAATAGACGGCGGTTGTAAATAACCGCCTTCTAATATATATTTACGTCACTTAATAGACGGCGGTTTTAAATAACCGCCTTCTAATATATATTTACGTCACTTAATAGACGGCGGTTCTTAAATAAATGCCTTCTAATATATATTTACGTCACTTAATAGACAACGGTCTCCGTGTAAAGGTGTGATACTCCATATTTTTTTGGGCATTGTACGAGGACCGTATGTGCATACGACTAATTTTATTAAATTTTCCTAAATCAATATTATTCATTAAGCTTAATAGTTTCTTAATCCAAGAAAACTTAGTATTTTATAATTATATACATGTGCACGTATATTATGTTCCTACATAGCATAATTAACCATTTCCCTTGTGGTCTGATGGTATCCGATATG